GCTTTGCATCACTTTTAACAGTTTAGATAACGTTAGGTTCATGCAAAGCTTTTGGCTACAGATGTGGTGCCTTTGTGACATCACATTGCTTAGGCTATCATACCTATAAATACTGCTTTCATTATTGTGCAAAGTCAAAGCCCGGTTTATCTCCTCAATTCCAGAATTGGTAGCAGTGAAGAGAAGTTTATGAGCTCCATGATAAAAAAAACCCCACTGTGGACAGCACTGTTTGTATATGAAGGAGCTAGCCATCTGGAAACAACTGTGTGGCTAAATTGAGCTAATGCTGTATCAAGGTCTGCAGTCTGTTATTACAGAAAAGTGCTTGCATTTGAATGGAATGGTTTCTGACTAAAAATAACAAAATAGCGGGTCAATAAAAAAGAAATATCGGGGATAATATGTTGTGGTTAAAATCAGACAAAGGAATTTGTTTGTGTCAATTTGTTGTCTGTTAAATTATTATAAATAAAAATGGCAAAAAGAGAACTCTTTGGCCTTTCACAATAAGAGCTCTCACCAGAGACATCTCTAAAGCTTAATAAACCTTCCCAATCCCCATATGGTATGTATGACGATCTTATCCTATGCCTGACTATCCTATGCTTATCCATTTTACCAAGACAATACCATTGCACATATTCTGCAAAATCTGCCATGTCAGAATGCAAAATCCTCTCGTTGTCATGGATGCTTTGCAAAACAGATGAGCAAGGTTCTTTAATAAATAATCAAACAAGCTAAATTTAAAATGCCCTAAATCGTACATCAAGGTACAGTACGAAAAGATTACAGCTCAGAGATCAGAATAACAGCAATAACAGGCAATATTTAATGCAAAATTTCTGCAGTTAACAAAACTCCCTAAATGGACTCAAACTGTTAACTGATTATATGGGCAACTTGGGACTGTTGTAATTACTTCAACTGATGTTAAACTGCATAGTGATAATCTATGGTAATTACTGGTTTCTGAGTTTGGATGTTGAATTAATTTCAATTTTATTTTAAATAAAACCCTCTAATGCCAATGCAATTAAATTATTGCATTATGATTCTTCTGAATTGCAATTAAATATTGACAATATTTTGTGCCTATTAAATAAAGGACCTCATTTTAAAATGATATCACACATATATTGCATGTATACTGATAATAAAGTGTAAAAATATTATACTTAAAGCTCAAGTGCAATATTAAGAAACAAAAGGACAAATTGATGAGGGTGTCTGACATGTTCTAAGATCATCTTTTTTATAAAAAAAATAAATTTAAAAGACCACATATCTGATTTTACAATACTCTTAAAATATGACAGCTCTTTCCACATATATATCAAACAGATTGAAAAGTACCCCACTACAAATGAAAGTCCAAGCTGCACAGTTAAGAACCCTGACATAAATGCACTAATTCAGTAATGAAATACACTGTAAATTAGCCTTAACTGATATTAATAATAAAATAAAGTAACAATGACATTGGAAAATTAAAGATGACAAATGTGATACTATATTTATATAAATTCAAACTAGATCATGATCATAAACTTGTTTTGAAAGGTAAAAATAGAATAATCTCTGTCCTTGGAAGACACCACAGTCATGATCAGCCCACCTTTGAATAGAAAATCCCGACAGTTACTTGCTGTTCACAACAGAGGATCTTTTTTTTTCTAAGTAATTGCGATCAATAAAATTTTGCAGTGATGCTATAGAAATGGAGCTACACAGAAAGATTTTCACTGACGAAGCCGGAGTAATCACTGACAACATATTGAACTCTTATTAAAAATGGACCTTAGCTGTTACACCTCAGGTGCAGTTAAGAAACAAAACAGAATGTCCTACATCCGTGCTAACCTTTTAACTATTCTCTCTGATGTGAGTTTGTTTATGAATTCATTTTAATTCTTACAACTTCCTTTATGAAAGTTTTATCAATACAAATCTGCACTTAGAAGAAGAAAAAAACATTTTCTCAGGCACTTTTAAAAAAAAATGCCTGCCACACCAGGAGGTTCCAATAGGAGATGTATTCAGCAAAGAGCTTTGATCTTTTCTTTTTTTTTAGCATCCATCTCCCATTACTATGATTGCCCTAAATTAACAAGGCTCGCTGACATTAATTACTTCTGGAAAAAAAAGGATATCCTCTAATTAAGCCCATAAATTTAAGTGACCACAGCCACACAAAGCTCTGTAAGGGGCAGTGCTGTGTGTAATAGTGAGAATTTGAGATTATACAAGCTGAAATATTTATTAAACATGTTATCCGTGTCCCAGGTGAGATAGAGAAGCTTCATTGTCTGCTGCAGGGTTTGATCTTTGACTAGCATGAATACTGATTTAAAAAGTGAAAGCTGAGGAAGTTTATGCTGAAGTTTTGGCCAAAGATGACAGGTCCGTGGTTCAAATTGCACAAAAGCAATTCTCAAGACTAGTTCCTGCAAGGAACAATCAAAGCTATCTGATTTCAAAAAGAAATAATCTTCATCTCCCACGATTCACACTCACACAATAGCATTGCTCCTTTATTACCCCAACTTTGCTGTATTAATCTTACTTTACAAATTCACAGAGTGATTTATATCATGTTTAATTAACTGATTGAGGGCTCCCGCAGTAAAATGGCGATATATTAAGCTCTGTCCGTATGGCAAATGCGAATCACGTCTATAGCTTTGCAAGAGAAAAATGCCATGGGATTCACTGATGACAGGATGCAGGAATCAGAATAAGGTCCCTCCTGTTGTTTGAGAATCCAGTGAGGGTGGTTGCCATATGCTCATCATTTCCAAGGGAAAAGGAATGACAGGATAAAAGTGAAAGCTACAGCAGCCCCTTCAATATGTTCAAAGCTCATATGAAAATTACTGTATACAAGTCTTCTACAGAGGCCAATTTCAGATCAAAGACGCCCGGAAAGTTACAGACAAGTACCTTATATTAGAAATGCAAACAGCTCTTAAGCTTGGGTTTTTAATTTGCGAAGAAATTTGCTGTGTATGAATGTGTGATGCTTAAAAAGGCATGAATGAAAAATCACCTAACAGAATATGGCTATGCTGATCAACTATTTTCTATTGTTAGCTCTGTTCTTTCTAGACGTGTGAATTTGATTGTTTTTTTTAGATATGGAGATTCTACTCGGTTGAGGCAAATGGCATTTTAATTTTTTTAAAGAGAATGAAAAACCAAATCTGTTGGCTGGTTATTGACCATACACACATTACTTTGACAGCAGCGTTCACCTCTTAGAAGCAATTATTCTCTATGCGGGTTTTTGAAAGCAGAAAGAAACATTACACAGACAATATGTTTTAACATATCGTGGCAAGTGCAGTATCTACTATAATAGGTGGACACTGGTACACAATCGGTGCACTGATACCAGGAGGCAGGTTTTCTGTAGTGGACTTCACAGTAAGAGAGACCTTTATTATAGGCACAGCGTCTCTGCATAGGAGTTGGACAGGTCACGTCTGCTGAGGGAAAACAGCAATGCAAAGCAGCTATTGGCTCTTTAAAACATGCAAGTCCCTTGTCTCCTGGGATGAAAACAAGCGCCAGGCTCCTCTCTGCCATCTGGCCCGGCCCTGCTCACACCTTTTATGGGAGCGGGTGACCCCTGCCATGTTGGAGACATAACCACAAAGATGACATGGAAAAGACTGCTTGGCTTTTGGCTGTGCAACATTATACACCTTGCAGTTACTGGATAAAGGACCACTGCCGCAGTGTTTCCTCCTGGTTCACAATAGCAACAGTGCTATGCATTATAGAAATACATGTATGCATATTATAATTACACTATATCCTATTTTAAATAATTTCTCCTGATAACTTACTGTTTTTCAGCATTGTTTTGTTTTTTATTGGGCCTGAAATATGCTAAGTGTGATTTAATGTTTATAAAATATGAAGATATGAATGACACACAAAATTTAGTGCAAAATGTCAACAGCAAACTGCACCGCATAAATTCTCCACATGCCAAATACAAAACATAAGTGAAGTTCGGCTTTAATCTAAGACTTTTTAAGTCTCATAATATTTTCAGTTATGATTTTTACAGCTCACACTTTCCTTCTTTGAATTCAGATTAACAACACTATTAAGGAAATCTGGATTCATTTGTACAGTATACCACATCAAAGCCCAGTCCAGATTGTTTTCTTTCAACAAATGTGTGCCAATGCTAATTTTAAAGGAGCAAATTACAATTGGTTTTAAGCAAATACCAAATAGATTCATCTTAACGTCCTCTCATAAACCCACATACAGAACGACTGTCACTTTTCTGAATTTATTGTTTTTTCTTTTTTGCAAATTAAGAGTTTCAGTTTATGAATATTTTAGCACATGTGCACTCTATGGGACATTTATCATAGCCTTGCTATTATAAACAGAATAAATGAGCAGTCAACCTGCCACACAGCCGGACATATCACAAGTTAGATTAATAAGTATGGGCCAGTTGTTCCCTGTGCATAACAAAGCTGGAGAGATTTTTCTAAGCATTCCATCTGTATTTTTTGTAGATCAACTGTGAGGCAAGGCTGGTGCAAAGATATTTAGTACGCAACGTCAAAAAATATTTTCCTCTCTTTATCATTTTATTTTGTCTCTTAATTACTACTGGCTTGTTTACCTACTAAGTAAGACACTGCGTTATTAAGGCAGTTTCTGTGAAATTAACCCCCAATGCCATTAATTCTTCAGCTAAATTCTATTCCTTTGTAAAATGTAATTTGTATTTTGCTGACTGCTTTCACTCATGACTTCAGGAAAATGGAAGAATATACCAATATGATCTATGTAGGTTTAACTATTAATTTATGTTTTTCTATTCAAGCTATTTACAACAAAGACAGAAAGAAAAAGTTATTTGCAACATTTTTTATGATACACAAATCATTTGTATGATACACAAAATAAGTATTTGTTTCTGTAACTTTAATAAATGCTTTTTTATTTAAGCTATTTTATTACATTCTTCTCATTCAGTAACAGCCCAAGATTGTCTGATACTTCAATGGGTGACAATGTTTGAAATGCAAGTCAATCGTGATGTGGTGCTTCATCATTTATTAAAGGGAAGTCTGTGTTAACTGGTCTATGCTCATTTTTGTACCTGCTAGTTTACTGAGTCTTATTGCTGGTATCCCAGAGAGAACATGAAGCAGGAGTTTGATGCTATGTACTGTGTAATACTCACTCTGCCAAGGTAAGAAGGCTTTAAAAAAATAATCTAAACTAGCCTTCAGATTTTGTGCAAGGTGTAAATATCTGTTTTTTTAGGCACATGCAGAAAGTGGTCAGGCAAACCGTATTTTAGTGTCAAACTGCAAATGATGGTGCAGCACTGCAGTACAAAATTAGTTCTTCCAGTAAAGAGAGAGTCCAGAGCTGCTGACATGGACAGCTGGAGATAACATTGGGAGATGCCGAGACCCACTGGCCTGGAACTTCCTTTTGGACTGTTAGGAGAAAAAGAGCAGTCCATAATAGCCTTTTTGTCTCATTTCAGACACTTCTTTTTAAGCGCCAGCTAAGGCAATAAGTGAAATCATTTTGTGGTACTGGCTCAGTGCCTCCTGGATGTATTCCACATCACAAAACCACCACATGCTATCTGTCATACATGACGCAGTGTTTGCCCAAAGGAGGCCCTCCCCCCAAAAATTCTGAAGTGATAATTACCTCTGTAGAGGCTGTTCTCTCCAGGTCAGGATTTAGGCACATGCGGTAGTGTTGGGTTACCTGGCTCTGTACCCAGTCGCACTGTAGCTGGCCTAAGGATTAGAAAAAGAAAGCTTTAGTCCTCTGTGCCGCCAGTCCCATGCCTTTCATAAACACTAGCAGCTGGTACTGCAATTAGCGATACGCTTTATACTTTTACAACAATGCAATCCTCAATGATCTCGACAATTAGTTCCTAATTGGATCTAAATAACTAAGACGGAACAAATAAATACAGGCGCAGAAGAGAAACCAGTACAGTTATTGAATACAAAAGCCAAGTGCTCTCCTTTACAGTGCTGCCCATTTGTGGTATATTATTTTGGCACACAAGGGAAAAGTGCTGTAGAATTAAAGGAGCCTCCTAAGGAAAGATCCAGGGCTGAGTCCTCTCTTACAAATCAAATGTGACACGTCTATGGCCTTCCTTATCCCTCTACCTAACTGTTGGCACTCGAGCAAATACTTGGTAGCAAAACAAAGGGTATTGCCTTGCTGAGACCGTGGCCATTACGTCAGGCCTGATTCGATAACCAGGTCTGGTATAGTCAATTAACAGTGCCACACACTGGAACCCAAACAGGAATCTAAAAGTGCCTCAACCATGTCAGAAAGATGATTGTATTGAAAGTCCATCCTTCAATACTTAGCTGTACATGTGTGTGTGAGGGCATATTAAAGCAATCAAAATCAAAATAATGATATTTTTCCCCACCCTTTACCTTTTCTGTATTTCTTGCAAGTGGCAGAATTTCAATTCAAGGGGCACAAAAAGAAACATATTTTAAACAACTAATGTGTTTTTTACAGTCACTGCCTTAGACCAGAACTATTTCTTCCACAAATGTCTATCCCAATTACCACTATTACAGTCAATATATTAGGCTACCTGACAACAGTAGTTTTCAGGCATTCTTTAATTTAAGAAACACTGCTTAAAACATTCTGCCCAAAATGAAAACAAAGCCTTATGTGCTGTAGTAAATGTTCTAAACTATTTTTTATGACCATCTCTTTCCTAAACAACACTCTAATTTGAGTCATGTTCTCTTCCATCTAGTCTACTCAGCTAATACTTTTTGATGTAACAAAGTATAGGTTCCTCTGATGGATTTAATAAAAAAACAATCTGTGCAGACCATCTACCTGCTTACTTTTTTCTTCTGGGCGGTTTATGAAGAGTCACACAGGAGCAAAAACAAAAACTTTAATTTATTTTATTCTCATCTGTGAAATGTTCACAGCAGGCATTCACCCAGTCTAGTTTTAGAATGGCCTCGAATGCTTCTGCTTTGCTCCAGGAGGGGAATTGTGAAGCACTGCAAAACACACTTGTACCTTGCTTGATCCTCTTAGCATCGGATCTTCCCCTGAGAATCACACTTGCAGAACAAAAGAAGAATAGAGGCACCATCTAGTGCTTTATTCGGGCAAAAGCTTGACTAACTACAGAAAAACAGCAGCAGATGTGTTCACTTTAGATTTTTTTTAAATAACTTGGCAACTTAGAAGGAAGGAATTTTATCCACAACAGAGTGACACTGCATAACTGAACTATGGCAATATCGAAAATGATTAATTACAATCTATGGTTCTGTTTAAATCTAAATAGCACATATTATGACTTCAAGTATGCCCATAAGACCACAATGACAGAAAGGGTATGAATGCTATTAAGATGTTTTAATTAAGCCATGTAAGCTAAAATATTTAGTTATTCAAGCAATAATGAAATGAGACTTGGATAATAACACAAAATCATTAAATATTGTGGTTTTAGAATTTGTAGGAATTAGTTAACAAAATAATAATTAACAAATAATGTAATATATAAAATCTAAGTGACTTACTAATAGCTAAAAAAATCTCTTAAAAATATTTTTTGTTAAAGTATACTGGCTCCAGATCTAATGAAAGTGATGTCACTGGTTGTAACCAAAACCTTTACTTTCCATTCTTTGTTTTTTTAAGGTAAGAGAGTTATTTCCCCATAACCAAATAGCAGACTTAGTCAAATGAATAATAGTGGAAATTAGTATACAGTAGTATGGAACAAGGAATATGAGCCCTGAAGTCTTGATTTTAGGAATACCCCTTTCCATTGGACCTACTGTATATACTTCACCAGATTATTTTCTCTCACATACATTGTAAATATTAATAATCAAACTTTTCAAAGGAGTATTAAGAGTGTGATTTGCTTGCTTTCAATATGTAAGCAAATTGTATACCAATTGCCATTTATAGTTGAGCACACAAAAGTCTAAACAACAGCACTGTATACTCATGAAAACTAACCTAAAGTATAGAGAATGTTGATATAATGTAGAACAGAAATACTCTGCAATATTCCCAACTATAATTCGCTTTAGAACAGACTACAATAGATTTTAACTAAACAGATTAAATAGTCCTGAATTAAGAACATATCACTGATTCATAATCAAAAAGCATATAAGAGCACAATAAGACTGTGTGAAAAACAGACCACAACTATGTACGCAACAATTTTTACATTTATTTTGGATATTTCAGGTGGATGTTGCACATTGGTGGTGGTGGAGGGGAGTCCCCATTACCTGTAAAGCGCTTTGAGTGGAGTGTCCAGAAAAGCACTATATAAGTGAATGGAATTACTATTATTTCTAGATATATGATGCTATTATTGAAAAAATCTTGTCCCTCATGGTTATAATTGTCTTCTAAGGAAACTTTCATTTAGACTGGGGAACTCCAGGTATAAGGTAAGATTTGTTTTTGTCAAGGAATGGGAGGTGGGAATAGGTTGTTGACACAATTAATGAATTTAATTTAACAGTGATACTGATGACTTAATAGGCTGTAAAATTGAATGTGGACCCCACTAAAGAATGAGTAAGCAAATAAAACCATAAGGAACTTGATGTTTAAGTACTGAAGTCTAAAGGAACCAGTTTTATTAAAGGTATAATCTTATGTAGCAGTATATAAGTATCAGAGACTCCCATACTGTCAGCTGAGGCAATTTCACAGTGTACCTGTATCTACACCTTCCTAAATAAAGAACTTATCTCTAAACCTCTTAAACCTAAAATTGCTTCTAAGTAACTTCAAATTGCTTGTTTTGAGCTGAGGATGCTGACTTAGCAGAAAACATGTCTTAGAATAGCCTATATATCACAGCATAATTTTTGAAAGTCATTTTCAGAGCTGGATTTAGCTGAAGACAGTAATTTGCCAAAATAAAAATGGTCTTAAGTGTTTCTGATACCCCAAACAATGATTCAAATATCTCCTAAAACAATGAAGAAACTTAATAAGTCAGGGACATATAACTGCATAAGTAGATTACTTGTTCATAAGCATTGTGACTATAACTGGATATTGTCCAGCAAAACCACAAAGTTTAATAAAACTCCACTAGCTCTTTTAAACATTTGGATTATACTTAGTGCTCAAGTACATTTTCTTAACAAGGCAGAGAATAGCATTTAATGACCTGGATAATTACTTTTTATTTATGTAGTATATCACCACACAGACTTCTTTATTTTTAGACTTCTGATTTTCTCCTAGCTGCTAATCAAAAGGAAACAAGCTGTTTGGTGTTTACCACTGGGTCAAAAGCCCATTTACTCTTTACAACATCCTCCTCCAGAAATCAAACCTTTCAGACTGCTGTACTATAATTCTGATTAAGAACTCCCACATATGCAGAAAGGTCAATTTATTCAATTAACAATTAATGTAGGTGGAAATCAATGTAGTAGAATAAAAATACCTGTGCAAAAAAGACACCAAACTTCATTCAAGATGATAATTTATAAATATTATTTATTTAATTATAGTTTAAACAAAGCAATCAATCTGCAGGTTTGACAGCAGCAATCGCTAACAATATTTCTCTTTTAAACATGTTTTTATTAAAGAAATACATTAGACCACGTTTTATATCCAGCTTTCAAAATAATCTTCTTGCTATTTACGAAGTACATACAATAACAGAATTTCAGTATATAATGCTTAGGTTATACATTATACAGTGTGTAGTATACAGTACAAAGAATAACACTAATGTCTTTTTTATGTTATTACATGTTACTGTTATTGCTATTGTGTAACTGTCTGTTGTCTTATCTTCTGTCCTATTTATATACTGCACCTGAGTGACTAATGATAAACACTTTTCATTATACTATGCACCTGTGTAAGTTTAATGACAATAAAGTTAAAGTTTGATAATTTAAGGGCAATGTAAAGGCCATAATTCATAAATGTTACCATTTGCCTTAAAAGTGTTTTTACACAAAGGGATAGAAATTACCAGTTTTGCAGCTAAGACACATTGAAGCCAACAAAAAATATTTAGTCAGGAGGGGCTCCACATTTGTATACCCAAACGTTCCCTCATACCAAACGTATTTTTAAAACTTCATTTTAATTTCTTCCTGCTTTGAGACATTTAAAAACCCGAGAATTACTGTCTGGCCAGTAAGCGTTTAATGCACATAAAAGTCTCCCAATAAGGAGCCTACTTTTATTAAGGTTGGCATAAGAAGTCAAACTTTAAATTTCACTAGAGTGATTGGAAGTGAGTGATTTTATAAATATCTCAAAACACAGCTTATTTGGCTTACTGAATACTCAGGTGATTAGTTGTGATAATGTGATACCATTTTAAATAAAAAGCACCTGGTTCTGGTTCAACTAAACTAGTTGAACTGAATATAGTAGGTGGAAAGATATCATACAATGAATGAATAAAGCTTACAAAATGCTGCCTAATGTGATTGTAAGAGTCCGGTTCACAGTCTTAACAGAAAGCCAATAGCCTCCAACATTCCCTGGCACATGCACACATTAATTGTTTAAATGCTTTACATTTTGGAAAGTCGGGTCTTCTCAATCAGCAACCCAATCTATCTTGAGAGGATGTTAGAATGTTACCGGGCTAAAATATAATGTGTTTGGACTAGAATCTTCTTGTTTTAAGCACAGACTATTGGAGGCATATTTACGGGAAGAAAACATTGA